GGGTTTCACTATGTTGGCCAAGCTGGTCTCGACTCCTGACCTCAGGTGATCAGCCCACCTCAGCCTCCCAAAGTGCTGGGATTATAGGAGTGAGGTACCGCGCCCAGCCAGGATTTTGTTGGTTGTTTCACTCTTTAAAAAAAAAAAAAGAAAGAAAAAAGGTACAATTCATATAACATAAAATTATTTTTAAATGAATAGTTCATGCCTTCCAAATACCAAAACTTCATCCTCTCTACTCTTTACAACAAAACTCCTCAAGCTATCAATCCTCCCTGTCTAAACTTCACCCTTCACAGATTTTTCTAATTACATTCTAAAAAGCTTCCCACCTACCACTCTACTGAGATCAGTTTTCAAAATTAATAGCCTCACCATTGAAAAATTCAGTCATAGCCGGGCATGGTAGCTCATACCTGTAATCCCAGCACTTTGGGAGGTCGAGGCAGGTGGCTCACTTGAGGCCAGAAGTTTGAGACCAGCCTGGCCAACATGGTGAAACCCCATCTCTACTAAAAATAAAAATATAAAAATCAGCCGGGTGTGGTGGCAGACGTCTGCAATCCCAGCTACTTGGGAGGCTGAGGCAGGAGAATTGCTGGAACCCAGGAGGTGGAGGTTGCAGTGAGCCCAGATCGCACCACTGCACTAAGCCTGTTCCAGTCGTTTCTTCTGCTCTTACCAAATATATTTGTGGGATTTCAAGTAATTCACCATGTCTTACTTTTTAGAAGTCAACAAGAGTTTACATGTATGTATGTCCTATGACCTTGCCATCTACTACAACTTACTGATTCAAGAGAAAGTATCACTTATGTCCACACAGAGACTTATACACGAAGGCTTATGGCAGTTTTAGCTGTAATCTCTCCAAATGGAAAACTGCTCAAACGTCCATCAACAAGTGAATGTACAAATAATTCATGGTGTGTCCAAACAATGGAAAATTTTTCAGCAATAAAGGTCCAAACACCAACATAAGTGAACCTCAAAGTACGCTGGGTGAAAGGAGCCAGACAAAACAATGCAGAATTCCATTTCTATAATACTTTACAAAGTGAAAATAAATCAGCTGGGCACGTTGGCTCACACCTGTAATCCTAGCACTTTGGGAGACAGCGGTAGGTGCACCATCTGAGGTCAGGAGTTAAAGACCAGCCTGACCAACATGGTGAAACCCCGTCTCTACTAAAAATACAAAAATTAGCTGGGTATGGTGGCTTATGCCTATAATTCCAGCTACTCAGGAGGCTGAGTCAGGAGAATCACTTGAGCCCAGGAGGCAGAAGTTGCAGTGAGCTGAGATTGTGCCACTTCACTCCAGCCTGGGCAATACAGTAAAACTCGGTCTTGGGGGGAAAAAAAGGAAAACAAACCTTTAAGTAACAGTAAGGAGAATGGTGGTTGCCTGGAGCTCAGGGGGAGGGGAGAGGTGGGAAGGAAGAACTGAAAAGGGGCACGAGGAAAGTTTGGAAGGGAATGAAATATGTTTGCTATCTTGATTGTAGTGACAGTTAGGTATAAACATATGTCAAATCTCACCAATTATACCATTTAAATATGTGCTGTTCATTGTACAATTAAGCCTCAATAAAGCTGTAAAGAAAAAAGACAATTCAGTTGCATTTAGTACATTCATAATGTTGTACAACCACTTTGATACAGTTCTAACAACTTTTCCATCACTCCAAAGTAAAACCCTTTACCATTAAACAGTATCTCCCCTCCCCTCAGCCCCTGACAACAACCAACCTGCATCTGACACCATGGGTTTATCTATTCTGGGTATTTCATAAATACGGAACCATATAGTAGGTGACCCTTTGTGTCTGGTTTCTTTCATTTAGCATAATGTTTTCAAGGACATCAGGATTTTAAAAACACTTTCCAAGTTATTTTGATATGGAATCAAGATATCCACAAAGCAGGTATGGGCAGGGTAGGCAATCAGATTCCATTTTAACTAAGCATTTGTGTGCAAGGAAACCACAAATATCTCATTTAATCCTTACAACAACTTGGGTGTATATCATTCCATTTTACAGGCAGGGAAACTGAAACTCAGAGAGGTGAAATCCCCCATCTGACATCATATAGGTATTTAAAAGCAAATTGGTCTGACTCTCCAGCACCATGTCTGCAGTGCAACCCAGGGCCCTCTCCCAAATGAGCACTCAGGAACCATCAGAAAGGAATGATGGGCTGTGCCTACTGGCCGGCAAGCCTGGACTCTATAGGCAGAGTTGATCTACTGGCTAGAGAACATAGGACTTAAGGGTGTTTGAGCTCCTTAACTGTTAAAGTATCCTGCAGCTAGGAAAGAAAGTCAACAAACATGAAAGCTAGGAGAGAACTTAGACCAATTTGTAAAAACACTCATTTTAAAAACCAAGAAACAAGGCCCAAAGAAAGTAGATTAGTAAAACATGGTCAGATGTCTTCTAAATTTCAAAAAAGCTATGAATAATTTTTACTTTTCATTGATCCTGGGAATAGAGTCTTCCCCAAACATAAAAACAAAACTCATTTTTACACAATTTATTGGCTACCGCCGTATTATTAGCCATGGTTTCAATTCATTTAGTCAACAAATATTCATGCACATACTATGTTCCAGGCACATTCTGGGGAGGAAGGATATGGCAATGAACAAGGCAGATAACGCCCCCTGTCCCTCACAGAGCTACATTCTATTCAGTTGGTGCAAAAGTAATTGCTGTTTTTGCCACAGAAAGGCACAGCAAAACCAAAATTACTTTTGCACCAACCTAAAGGGCTGATGGGTCCGCAAACTATGAATAGGAGGGAATTTTCTCAATGGGATAAAGAACTTCTTTACAGCCAACTTCATACTTAATGGTAAGAAATTGGATGCTTTCCCCTTAAGATCAGGAACAAAGCAAGATGCTGCTCTCACTACTCCTATTCAATGTTTTACTGGAAATCCTAGCTAATGCAATAAGCCAGAAAGGGAAATAAAAGCTCTACAGATTGAAAAGGAACAAATAACTTTGTTTACAGATGATCTGACTGTCTGTGTAGAAAATCCCAAAGAACTGACCAAAACAAAAACTGCCAAACAGCCCTTATAGCAAGGTTACAAGATACAAGGTTAATATATAACAATCTATTGCTTTTCTATATACCAGCAATGAACAACTAGAATTTGAAATCAAGAAATAGCAAGGAGATCTGTATGGCTCCAATGGAACTGAAATTAGAATTAGGTTGAGTGAGGGAGAGAAGCAGATGGAGGCTAGAAGCAGATCATGATGAAGGGCCCTGTGAGGAAGCTGGGTTTTACTATGAGTGACTTAGGGAGCCACTGGAAGGATCTCAGCAAAGGAGGGATATTACCTGATATACCTTCACCCACATTGCCCCACATAAACTGCTGCCTGGTCCAGTTTTTTATTTGTAAATTCAGGTTTTAGTGACCTCCAACTAAAGTAATTATACCCCCCAGCTTAGTGAAATACTAACAGAATTCATCCTGTCAGTAGCAGAACTGGCTGAAGCAACAACATAATCTAGATCCTAAATCCTTGAGACGGGGTGAGATGTAAAGGAAAAACTGCCCAATGCTAGCCCATACCTGGTTATCTGGCTAAAGACGGTGGTCACTGGTAAACTCCAGTGGCAGAGCTTGCAGGCCCCAGAGAAGACACAGAGAAATGCTCAGAAAGGACTGAGCTAAGCCAGGTGAGTCTTTGAGGAACAACAGTACACAAGGAGACAATAGGCAGAAACCCTCAGACTGCCATGGGCACAGGAAGTCTCCTGCAGGGAGGCACACCTATTTCCCACTCTAGGGCCTGGGACAGGGCACCATTCCCAGGAATCATAAAAGACAGCAGAGCCTCAAGATGAGAGTAAGGGCTTCACAACAGATTCAAATCATGGCTCCACCACCTGCTAGAACTGTAAATAATGGTTCAAGTTAATCCATCTAATCTGCACCTTAGTTTCTAATCTATAAATTAGGCATTACAGATATCTAATATGCCAACTTTATGTTGGCATTATGCTAACATTAGAGCATCCAAATTCCTAAAACCAGTACTTCTAGACCTAAAAAAAAAAAAAGATATAGCCAACAACAACAACAACAACAACAAAAAAGAGCCACATGATATTAGTGGGGGACTTCAACGCCCCACTGACAGCATTAGAAAGATCATCGA